CTTCCTTCCTTCCTTCCTTCCTTCCTTCCTTCCTTCCTTCCCTTCCTCCCTCCCTCCCTCCCTGCTTCTTTCTCTCTTTCTCTCTCTCTCTCTCTCTGCCTTCTTTTTATCTCTTCCCTGTCCAAAGAGTCTGCTCTTGACCATCTCTATAAACTGCTTAGGGATGAGAGAACCAGAGGAGGGTTTCCCATGGTCCTATTCTATACTCCTAGATTTAAAGAACTGCGGCCACAAAGGGAATGAGCCCCTAGCTTCACCTTCAGAGCCTCAGCTCAGGATCCCATAGCGGCAGGAAATAGTACTAATGATGTGGTCATGATGGCCTGAGAGGCTGTTTGTGGGACACCTTCTGCCCTTTACCATCGGTACTGTTGTTGTATCCAGTTGTTGTTGCTGTTGTTAAGTGCCATTGAGTCATAGGCGACTCATAGTGACCCTATGAACGAAAGACCTGGACACCTCCTGTGTAACTTTTGTCCTTTCTCCAGGTTCATAGGATTTCCAGAGGCAAGCTATTATGGAACTGGATGCCACTCCTGCTGCCAAGCTTGTTTTAATCGGCGAGATCCACCAAACACTGTCCACCATGGGTCACCATTCTCGCATTTGACTCATCAGTGTCACAGTGTTCAGCTTCATAGCAACCATGAGTTACCTCTGAACAGCAAATGGACAGACCAGGGTTACACGACCTAGAAGAATGTTTCACCAAAATGTGCCTAGTAGGCAGATGGATATCATCGTTTGCAAACCCACTTGAGTGAATCCCATAATCCTTTGTGAGCCACAGTCACAAACCATCATTGAAGGTTATCTTGTTAGCCTGAAGTATATTTTGAAAATACCTGATGGTTTATAAAACACTTTCTCTTCTGTTTGAGCCTCTTTATATCTGTGTGAAGCTGGTAGGACAGGAGATCTGTTGGAAATGATGATTCCAGAGGTAATGGACTCAGCACCATGGGAAAAATGATGAGTAGACCCAGGATGGATTGAAGCATACATTCTGGACTTGACTTTGGTCATTGAGGAATTAGCAAGATAAAAACTTGCAGCTTTGGGGGGGCAGGGGAGTGCATGAATCTTGGCTTCAGATTCAAGCTCTGCTATTCACTAGCTATTCACCTTTGGCAAACTTTTGAACCATTTTAAGCCTCAGTTTCCACGTCTGTATAGTGGAGGTAACATTAACCACTTCCCAAGACTGTTGTGAGGTATAAAGGGAACTAACTCTGAGCCAGCACATCAGTGATGCTCCCTGGATTTTAGTTTCTTTGCCTCTCTTCTGCCATCCTGGTGACCCAGACATACATGAGTGGCTATGAGGGATGGGGCAGTGGATGGGATGAGAAAAGGACAGCCTGGGCTCTTCAAGGGAGGGAAGGCAGAGAGGACAGGAACCCTGTGTCACTTGTCAGGCCACTCCCAATTTATGGGCTCTTAGGTAAAGACTCTTTGAAGAGGCAATAAAATTCATTTTCTGTAGGAATGACAACAGCTGAGAGTCCTGACTTAGCAAACTAAATTCAACTTTTTTTTTATAAGCCTAGGAATTTTAGATAGGTTGAAAAAAAAATTACATCCTAATGAGATTAGCTTTCTGGAATAGAAATAGGCTTTCCCAAGAGTCAAAGATGTGGAACATGCCAACACCCCACGAAGAGTGTATATAAACTCCCAGAGAGGTCCGGGGAACCCAGAACCCGAGCTCCTTCCTTAACTGCTCCTTTCCTTGCTAGTATCATGGCTACCCAGATCTGCCCTCCGACCTTCTCCTCTGGGTCTGTCAAGGGCCTTTATGGCTCCACAGGCTGCCTATCTCGGTCCTCCATCCGTTCCGTGGGCTCCTGTAGAGTCTCCAGTCTTGCTGGGATGGGAGGGTCCAGCTCTTCTCTTAGGCTGGGTCTGTCAGGTCTTGGGGGCTGCATGCCTGGCTCCTACCTGTCTACTGGGTGCCATCCTTCTGGCTTTGTTGGGACGGGGGCCTGGCTCTGTGAGGGCTCCTTCAGTGGCACTGAGAAGGAGACCATGCAGTTCCTGAATGACCGTCTGGCCAACTACTTGGAAAAGGTCCGACAGTTGGAGCGGGAGAATGGGGAACTGGAGTGCCGCATCCGCGAGTGGTGTGAGTCTCAGATCCCATACATCTGCCCGGACTACCAATCCTACTTCAAGACCATTGAGGAGCTGCAGCAGAAGGTGACAGGGACGTAGGTCCTTTCCAACTGGGTAACACAAGCTCTATGTGGTGGCTGCCTTATTAGAAGTTCTTCCTTGATGGGGTTGTAACTTTTAGGGTATTTTTTCCAGGAGGGCAAGTTGTTCTCTCTAGGATCTTGGTTTCCTGGGGGACCCAGGCCTTTTGGCTAGTTTCCTGCTTGCAACCTGCTGTCAGTCATCTCTAACTTCCTCTTCTGGCCTCAGATACAGCAAGAGAAGCTACATATACCAAGCACCTGCTGGGTGTAGGCTCTGGGCCTTAGGATTTCCTGTCCGTTGGCTTCTTCATTCTTCATCTTGGGGCATTACTGAGCCCATTTAATAGATGCAGAGGTTAAATTTCAGAGAAGTTCAGTGGCTTGCCTGAGGTTTCAGAGTCTATGAGTGTTGGACCCAGAATCCAGGTCTACCTCTGTCCATCCTACATTGTATTACTGTGGGGCTTACAGATGCCAGAGCTGGGGGCCACGGGAATCCTTGTGATGTCCCTATCCTAGGACCGGCACTCTCTCCACATCTCAGGTCAGGGGTGGAAGTTGGAAATGCTGAAGGCAGCTGGTTGTATTTGGTGACATGGCCATTTTCTCCTCATCCACAACCTACTGTTGAGCCTTCGCCCGTTCATAGAGAGCCTCTTGTTCCCTAGATCCTGTTAACCAAGGCTGACAACACCAGGCTGGTCCTGCAAATTGACAATGCCAAGCTGGCTGCTGATGACTTCCGGACCAAGTGAGTAAGGCTGCTTAGGGAAGGTTTCTGTTACGAGGCTCCCTTGCTTCTGTCTCCTGCCTTGGGGACCTGGGGAGTGGAATGAAGTCAGATGGAGTTGTAAGCATGTAAGGGCATGAAGTGAGTGTTCTCTATTCCACCTGGCAGCAAGCCCCTTGGCCGTGTGTGTGTGCACGTGGCTTCCTTTGCTGGAGACTCAGCAGGGTTTTGTGTGTGCAGGTACGAGACGGAGCTGTCCCTGAGGCAGCTGGTGGAGGCCGACATCAATGGCCTGCGCAGGATCCTGGACGAGCTGACCCTGTGCAAGTCCGACCTGGAGATGCAGGTGGAGTCCTTGAAGGAGGAGCTTATGTGCCTCAAGAAGAACCACGAGGAGGTGAGCCCGATGTCACCTTTCGCAGTCCTTTATCCAGTATAGGGAGCCGCAGGTGGCACTCGGGTGTAGCAACACAGGCAATCACTTCCATGTGACACCTCGTCTCTAATACTGATGGTTTACTGCGTACCAGGAGCTACGTGGAGTTCTCATTTCAGCCTTACAAGGAGGCATATACTTTTACAAGATCCCTTTTACTGATGAGGAAACTGAGCTCAGCCTGGGCAGCACTTGCCAAAGATGACACAGAACCCACATTCCTGCCCATGACAATAAGTCTCCACTTGAGCCAATAATCATAGTGTTTAATCAGAACAATCCAGCTTGCCTGATGTTGTTTAGTATCTTGTTTAATGCCTGAGTCCCCAGGGCGTCCTGATGGCCTAGTCCACAAGGCGCTGTGCTGCTAACGCCAAAAACCAAGGTTTGAATCCATTGGCAACCCTGTGGGAGAAAGATGGGCTATATTCTCTCATGCAACTTATAGCCTTGGAAACCTGCTGGAGAGTCAGCTATGAAGCAGTTCTGACTCAAGGGCAGTGTATTGTTTTTACTTATTTTACTTTTTAACTCCCAGGAGTATAGGTATAAGCTCATGAGAAGGCTGAGGCTCAGAGAGGTTAAGGATCCTGTCTAACACTAAACAGCTGGTAAGTGAAGGAACAGAGCTCACATTTAACATCCCTCTCACTGCACGTGCCCCTTGTTTCCTCTCTGAAGGAAGTCAGTGCCCTCCGCTGTCAACTTGGGGACCGACTGAACGTGGAGGTGGACGCTGCTCCGCCAGTGGATCTCAACAAGGTCCTGGAAGACATGAGATGCCAGTATGAGGTCCTGGTTGAGAATAACCGCAGAGATGTGGAGACCTGGTTCAACACCCAGGTGCGGCTGGAACACCCAAGCCACAGGCTCCAGGGAGTGGGTGCTACCCCATAGAGTAATTACCCCATAATCTAACTGTGCTCCGTTACTCATCATGTGCTTTAGACTGAAGAGCTGAACCAGCAGGTGGTGTCCAGCTCGGAGCAGCTGCAGTGCTGCCAGACTGAGATCATTGAGCTGAGACGCAACGTCAACGCACTGGAGATCGAGCTGCAAGCTCAACACAGCATGGTGGGTGTCCTCTGCCCCAGTGATTGCCAGCCCTGGCATGTCACTCCTCATATAGATAGATAGGTATCCAGGAATGTGGGGTTCTGGGCTCCCACTGGCAGCTTTCTCTTTCCCATTGCAGCGGAACTCCCTGGAATCCACTCTGGCTGAGACCGAGGCGCGCTACACCTCCCAGTTGGCCCAGATGCAGTGTCTGATCACCAACGTGGAGTCCCAGCTGGCGGACATCCGTTGTGACCTGGAGCGTCAGAACCATGAATACCAGGTGCTCCTCGACGTCAAGGCCAGGCTGGAGTCGGAGATCGCCACCTACCGCCGCCTGCTGGAGGGAGAAGACTGCAAGTGAGTGGCCCATGGGCCCTGGAGAGCCAGGCTTGGGGGAAGAATTCACCTAGACCCAATGTCACGGCAGCAGCAAAGGAGTCGATGCCTGTAGCCATTCCCTATGTGTCCTGCACAAGTGATGGGGGTATGACGAAGGCCCTCTTGAGTATCCTTCTAGTCTGGTTTTTGGTAATTCTCAGGGGATCAGTCTTCCAGCAATCGTGTCTGGGAGTTTCTGGTCTTCATTCCAGCAGCACTAGCCCTCCTTCTTGTAAATTTCAGGGGTTACTGCATCAGGACTGACTCAATGGTTGTGAGTCTTAGAAGTCATTCTTAGTCGTCATTTATCTGACTACATTGACTTCTCAAATATGTTTCACATGCATCTCAGATCAATGCCTGGATGCCAGATTCACCCCGAAATACTTCTTTCCTCAGGCTTCCTGCCCACCCTGGCGCCATGGAGTGCAAGCCTGCCACTAGGGTCCCTTACCTCCCCAGCGTGCCCTGCACCACGAATGTGCCCTGTACCACGAGTGTACCCTGCACCCCAGCTCCCCAGGTCAACACCCAGATCCGCACTATCACCGAGGAGATCCGAGATGGCAAAGTCATTTCTTCCAGGGAGCACATGCAGCTCCGCCCGATGTGAGCGGCCCCCTGGCCCACCCGGGGTGACCTGGGCCCAGGGGGGGGACACCCCTGCGGCTCCTGTCTCTTAAATGACCCCACCCTTTCCTAGAGGGGGCTCCACCACTCAGCAAGGTTTCTATCAAAATTCTTCTTGTATTGTGTTTCTAGGCTTGACTGTGCTTTTACGCCGTGCAAACTATAATCTGCTTTCACTGGAAATCTGCCCAATAAAGTGCGTTCTCTTGGCATTGCAAACTCAACCCAGGCTAAGTGTGTTTATTCTCATGTGGTGAGTTGGTGGGGAACTTGATAGGGGATCGTGTTAACATTGTGGGTGTGGATTTCAGGTTCGTCTTCTCAGACTTTGTGTGGAGGGCCATGGGAGGGTGACCCAGAATGTCCTGTAGCTGGGATGACCCAAAGAAGCATGACTGGTCCTGTGGTGAAAGCATCAGTTTGCTAATGAAAAGATTGGTGGTTTAAACTTATCATTAGCTCTGTGGAAGAAAGATGGGGCTGTCTGCTTTTCTAAAGATTTACAGCTGTTGAAACCCTGCTAACGGAAGAGCTATTCTGCTCTTCAGGGTCTTTCTGAATGAGAAGCAACTCCAAGATAATGAGGGCAGGAAGGGAGGTGACTTGGCCCTGACCTACGACTGTGTATATTGACCCAATCCAGACGGGGCCTGGCTTCAGCCTGCTGCCTGACCCTGCAGTGACATTCACCAAGGGAACAGTGGCTGAGAAGGGCCAAATGCTCCCAAAAAGATCTTCTTTGGTGGTCCTGCCTCAACCCAGGGGTTCTCCCCCCCCCCTTTACTTTCTCTGCCTGTATGGAGTTCTTGCCATCCTTCTGGTCCACTCTCAGGCCACATTGGGGACAGCTCAGGACAGTGGGTCCCAGGACCAAGCAAAGAGGACCACAGTCCAGCCAACCAATCTGCCTGAGCTACTCACTACAGGGAAAGAGTTGGGTGAGCTGGGAGGTGAAGGCAGGAGGGGTAGGTGAATTCACATCCCCAGCACTGGATGTAGGACTCAGGTGAGGGGCATCATGGAAATGGAAACTTGGGAATCGAGGACTTAGACACAGAGCAGGGCGAGTGGTCAGCTAGCCTTGCTGAATTTAGAGTAATTCAGATTCTACTGGCTGAACCACGCTCATGTGTAATGGGGTTCCCACCTGTACCAGGCCTCTAGACACCTTGAGATCAGACAAATATGGTTTGACAGAAATCTCTGGGCTCCTTTGTCATCACTGCCTTACTCCTTAATGTAGAACACAGGCCCAGAGAAGGACAGTGACTTGCCCTAGGACACACAGCAGTGACTAACTATGATGGGCTCATTCCTCAGCTCTTCTCACTCTTACTCTGGTGCTTTTTCTGGCTCATAATATCTCATCTTTTTGCTCTTCTCTACCTCTGGGTTCTTGCATACTCTTAAGCAGTCCACTGGAAAGGCCTGGCCCTAACCTAGGCCCCAGCATGTGATCTGAGCATCCATCTCAACCACCTGTGGACAGGCGCCAGGGGCTGTAAACATAGCAGCCCTCAGGAGAAGCAGCGCCCAGCAGAAAGTAAGCATCCTGAGCTGGTCTGAGTCTGACTCTGCTGCTTGGTGGTGTGTGCCCATGACGTGACCTCTGTGGTTCCAATTGGTTCATTTTGCAAAATAGGGCTGTTTGCAAGACATCTGTGTGTGTAACACTAGGAAGTGGTAACTGTCAGTGCTAGTGTTAATAAAATGAAGAATCCAGTGGAAATCAGAATTACAGGGACAAAGTTAAGAAAAGTGATTATATTGAGGGTATTGCAATTAATGTTACAAAGGAAATTGTGTCAGAGTAAAAAAAATCGATGTTGTTGTTGTTGTTATGTGTTGTTAAGTCAGCTGCGAGCAGCTCTAAAGTCTGCCCTCTCCTGAGCCAGTCTCACTAATTCCAACACACCAACCCCCATTGCCCCAGTTACTGTATCAATCCGTCTCATCCGGGATAGGCTTTATAATATTTCGCTCAAGTCACAATTAAAAAAAAAAGCGAGGTAAGAATAGGCTTCTTGTTGTTGTGTGCTGTCCAGTTGGAACCTACTTATAGCTGATCTTCCAGCGGGTTTTTAAAGGCAGTAAATTGCAGGGAAGGAGATTGCCCATCTTGTTCCCTCAGAGCAGCTGGTGGATTTGAACCTTTGGGATTACAGTGCAGATTCCTACCACTAGACCACCAAAACTCTATAATAATAGGCATAAATCAATAATTAATTAATCAATTAGTAATTAACCAATAATTAATGATATAAAATATGTATATGAATGGTTGTATAAAACACAATGTATATGCAGGAAACACAAAGTACATGAATGATTGGATGCAAACCAATAAAAATATTAGAAAAAATATAACAACCCCAAACCCACATCCTTGGCCTCAGAGTGGGGAGTGGAGAATCCCACGAGGTGGACGGGGGCTCTCTGCTTCCTCACAAGCAGCCCACTGGGGATTTTAATGCGGTCAGCAGCATCCCCAGTGTGAAACAGAAGCCTTGGCCTCAGAGGACACGCTTGGCTTTGAGCCAGGCTCCAAGATGGGAGACCACGTGGCTCTCGCTTCTGCCCTTCCTGGGCCTTTGCTCTGATCCTCACCCCTGCTCTGGAGTCTGAGGTTCACCATACACGACTCTGCCCAGCTGCACACACACAGTCACTTGACACCCCTGTTTGGTGTAGTGTGCGTGGAGTAGCTGGGGGTGGGAGGACAGACTAGTGTGGACAGAACTCGAGCTGAGGTGCCACCGCAGAGCAGGCTGGGTGGCTGTGCAGGGTGGTTACCGGATAAGCAAGCACTCTGTGTGTGGCTTTCCCAGTTTATAAGCACCGTGCAGTTTACAGAGGGCGTTGACGGGCTCCTCTCATGTGTGCAAACAGCTCTGTGTGGATGTAGGTATCTATACTTCCTAGCTCTCCATTGAATTGTACAGAGCATCGGCATGAGCTCAGGAAGCCCTCCTACTCCCCATCTCACCACACCCTTCACATGTACAAGCTAGAATTCAAAACTGAAGTGGAGGAGGCATTGGCTGGTCCCACAGCAAGAGGTTGACTAAGGATACCATCCAAGTTACTTTTGACACCTATTTCATTGCTCTTTCTATAACTTCAAGACAGAAATTCTTTCAAAGTCTGATCTATTTTTTTGTTTTCAGGTACCATATCTGGCTGTCTTCCTCAAGCACATATACTCATACATAGAAAAAGTATCAGTCAACAGGATTGCACTGGATACCACTTAACTGGGAAAGCCAGTGCTCATGCAAGAGTTTATCTGGGGAGAAGCAGGGGTGGGAAATAGATAGACAGAAATTGTAAATCATAGGTGTAGGTTCCAAGGAACTCAAGTTCAGGTCAAAGACAACCACACAGAATCAATATTAGGAACAGCATTAGAAATAGCAGGACAGACTTTGGATTCTAAAGAAGGGGAGAGGTCATTAAGAGTTGGGGTGACCAGGGGACTTTAGGGGTGACTTTAGGGGAGATCTGGGTTTGATGGAAGCCTTAAAGAACGGGTGACTGGGTTTAATGAAGCAGAGAAGTAGACAAAGGACATTTTAAGTGTATCTAGTCTGTTCTGGGGCCAGCATGGATTCCATTTGAGCTGAAAGCAAAAGTCTTGTAGGGAAAATTTGCAGGATACTTGCTAGCCAATCCTAGTTCTCACTAATAAGGCGTTCTATGTAGTTATTTCATTCAAGTCAAAAGAATGTGGAGATAGAATGGAAATATGCCAGGCCCTAAATTAGGTTATTTAATATCTTTAAAAAGACAGGCTATATCTCATATTTAAAAATTTTGCTTATATATCTTGTGAAATGACCTTAAAAAAATCTTATCAGGAATATTCTAGTCACACCTTTGGCCCTGAATTGGCTTGTGGGCCCTGCCTCCCTTTGGGCTGAATGGCTTTGGGCCCAGAGAACACTTTGTTCTCTTACAATAGAGTATGCTAATCTGGGCAGATGCTACTAATTAGGCATTGTTGTGTGTGCCATCAAGTTAATACTGACTCACGGGGAACCCAGAGGACAGAGAACTGCCCCATTGCACATAGCACATAATCTTTAGATTCACTGAAGGAATCAAAAGGCTGGTGGTTCTGAGCCCACCCACTGCTCTACAGGACAAAGATGTGACCTTCCTTTTGGTTAACAGCCAAGTGAGTGAGTGCTTATCCACTGGCCCACCAGGACACCTGGTCAGAGATTGTTGTTGTTAGGTGCTTCTGAGCCAGGCCCGACTCACAGGGACCCTGCACACAGCAGAATGAAACACTTCCTGGTCTTGTGCCAGCATCATAACCTCCACCTCGGTAAACTCCATTGTAGCCACTGTCCATCACGAGTCGCATCTGCCAAATCTCTGCCTGTCCTTCTAGCCTCAGTTTTCCCATTTGTGAGAGTGAGAACAGTTAAGACTGACTTTACAAGTATCTTCCCTTCTCTTCTAATTTACCTTTCCCTAAAAAAAAAAAAAAAAAAAAATTCTTGCTCACTAACACTGACATACACTACAGCGGGTAAAATGTTCACATATTCATTCATTTAGATACTGCTCAACTGCTGAGTCTTCTAGAAGCCCAACACCATGCAAGCAATGCCATAGAGGTTTCTAAAGAAGTGTGAATGAAGCCAGTCCTTGCCAGAAAGACCTTTGTCTCTCTAGGAAGATGGGACCAAAATATAAGTTAACTGGAGAAGGAGAATGTGGCATCAGGATTGGAGGAAGACTCATCAGCCACCTGCGTTGTGCAGATGGAGCAACTTTACTCGCAGAAGATGAAGAGAATTTGAAGCACTTACTGAAGAAAAGACAAGACTGCAGTCTTCACTATGGATTATAATTCAACATCAAGAAAACAAAAATCCTCATCATGGGAGCAACATCATCACACATGGAGAAAAGGTTGGAGTTGTTAACGACTCCATTTTAATTGAATCCACAATCAACACGCATAGTAGAAGCAGTCAAGAAATCAAAAGATGTGCTGCATTGGGAAAAATCTGTTGTTGAGGACCTGACCAAAATACTAAGAAGCAAAGATATCGGCTTAACCAAGAAATCAAAAGATGTGCTGCATTGGGAAAATCTGATGTTGAGGACCTGACCAAAATACTAAGAAGCAAAGATATCGGCTTAATTACTAACGTGTGCCTGGTCCAAGCTGTGGTATTTTCAATTGTCTCCTATGCATCTGAAAGTTGAATGATGCATAAGGATGGCAGAAGAAGAACCAATGCCTCTGAATTGTGGTGTTGATGAAAGAGTACTGGGTGTACCGTAGGTTTATACAGTGTATATACCACAAGTTGCCAAAAGAGAAATCAATTTATTTTGGAAAAGATGCAATTAAGGTGCTCTTTATAAGCAAAGATGGTCCAATAGAGTCTCATACATTTTTGCACGTTGTCAAGTGGAGGTAATCTTTGGAAAGAAATTTCAAACTGGTAAAAGTGGAGGCCAGTGAAAGAGATGAAGACACTAAACAGACAGATTGGTAGAATGACTTTAACAATGGGCTCGAGCATATCATCGATTAGGGCAAAGTTCAGATCTGTTGTTCATAGGGTTTCTATTAGTTATCATTGACTCAAAGGCACCTAACAACAACAACAACAAGGAATCAGCGATGGCCATGGCCATGGCCATGGGCATTCAGAGTTGGAAGTGACCCCTTGCATTGGGACATGGATTTCCAGGGAGGAGAGGCCAAGACAGCTAGGGCCCCCTGGGGTTATATTGGGTGAGTGCCTGTAAGATCAGGCCCCGGGGTATGGGAAAGGTAAGGTGACTCATGGGAGCCCTATATCTAAGGACCCCAAATACAGGCAGCTGGCCTGTGGGATGATGGGGCTGGAACTGTGGGCTGGACTTTAGCGAGTGGTTCATCAACCTGATCACCGGTCCTTTTTCTTGTAGGAGTCAGCATCCTTCTATCGACATGTGTGTGGAACCTAAAGGAATTAGTATTTCTTGAATAGTTACACAAATGCTAGTTCTGCCTATTCTGCTCTCAGCTGTGAGCTCTGTCACTTAGGCAAGTTGTGAAAATATTTTAAGCTTATTTTTATCCTTGTTAGGTGCCATCAAGTTGAGTATGACTCATAGTGACCCTATAAACAGCCACCCTGAACCCTGTCCTATCCTGTGCCTCCCTTATCATCTTGGACACATTGGGGCTCATTGCTGCAGCTACTGTGTCAATATATCTTGTTGGGGTTCTTCCTCTCTTTTGCTGACCCTCTATCTTTCCAAGCATGATAGGCCTTTCCAAGGAATAACCTCTTCTATAACATGTCCAAAGTGTGTGAGATGAAGCTCTGTAATCCTTGCCTCTAAGGAGCATATGGCTGCACCTTCTCCGAGACATATCTGTTTTTCTGGTAGTTCAAAGGATATTCAGCACTCTTCCAACACCAAATTCAAAGGCCTCAATGCTTCTCCTGTCATCTCTACTTATTGTCCAGCTCTCAGTTGTGTAGCAGGTGATTGAGAAGACCATGGCCTCATTCAGGCATATCTTAGTTTTCAAACGGACATCATTCCAGGCATTAATTGAATGAGGGTGTTGACAATGCCAATCTCATGCAGATGTTGTGAGGATCAAATGAGGTAAGGCACAGAAAGAGCTCAGCAAGGGACCTATCAGGTGCCAGTGCCCTGTGAGTGAGGGCTGCCACTCTCTCGCCTCTTTATTATCAGCACTATGTGGAGGAAAGCCCAGGTGTGGAAGCCTCTCTGGGATTGTGCAAACTGAATGGGGCTCCCCAGCCTTTCACTGCAATGGCTTCCTAGGGCCTGTGGCACACGTCCAAGAGACTGTGGCTCAGCAGGGCTGGGCGGAGCCCTGTACTCATCTGATGGGAATCACAAACACCCAGGGAGGTTCAGCCAGGCACTGAGCTCAGCTGCGTCCTTTGCACTGGGGCATGGATTTCCAGGGAAGAAAGGCCAGGGCAGCCAGTGCCACCCTGGAATTGTACCGGGCAAGTGCCTGTGGACCAGGCCCCTGGGTATGGGGAGGGCATTGTGACTCATGGGAGCTCTATATCCGAGGGCTCCAAAAGCAGGCACCTGGCCTGTGGGATGGTGGCCTGGATGCTCAGAGCCTGTCCACACTCCCCAGAGACAGCTGCCCTGTATTGTGTGGGTACTGGCACCGTACCAGCTGTTGTAATGGACACTTACTTGTTCTCTATAGCAACACTAGAAGTAGGTGCTATTATTCTTCTTTGTGTATTTTACAAAGGGCTATAAGGAGCTGCTATGTCACACAGTCAGTAAGTGGAGAGTGTGGGATTTGAACCCAAAGCTCACCTTTGTTACCACAAGCTCACCTTGCTTATTGGATAATCTAACATTGACCAGGTACCATGCTCAGTGCTTCCCACGTACTTCACCCTCGGACTCATTCTATGAGACCTAGTCGACTATCCCCGCCTCATAGTGGAGCAAACCAGGACTCACAGGGGACGACAGTCTAGCATATGAGAGGCAGAGCCAAGAAGCCAGACCCAACCTAGCCTCATCTTCTCCACCACAACCCCCTGTCTCCTCACTGCTCCAGAATTCCATCCCAGGCTCCATGGAGAACAGAGAGTTTGAAGAGGGCTCTTCCACATCTAGGGTGATCAACTGTCTTAATTTTCCACAGACTGAAGAATTTTCTGGGACATGGGATTTACAGCAATGAGGCCATGCTAGTCCCAGGCAAAGTGAAAGGGTTAGCTACATTAGCTGTATCTTCCATGCTATTTTAGAACCTTGTGTGTCCTTTTTCCTTGGACATGAAGTCCCTGCCTTCCTACAACAGCTAGTTTTGGTCTTCCATCTCCCAGGAGTCAATCAACCCAGAGGCCTCATCTACTCCCTTGGATCCATCAAAAGAGAAAAAGCTGGAGAAAGTTAAGGTGGTGACGGGACTCCCACGCCTACTTAACGAGGAGGCTGAGGTTTGGGCCCTGATGACAGGCCCTTTGAAGAACTGACGGGGACTTGGTCTTCCCAGCAACACGAGGTGGTGATGAGTCTCAACACAGCCGTCAATCCAACGGGGCTCCTTTTTTATGAGGCAGGAAAGTGTTCACGGGAAGCTAAAGAACACATTAATGAGGGGTTCTAGTAGAAAGTGGTATTAACTTTAATGAGGAAAGAAGACTTTGTGAGAGCCAACGCCCACTGGGACAGAGATATAAATCCGTGGCGAGGAGCTACCTCTGCTTCTGAGGGGGTTCCTGGTCCCAGTTCTAGCGTCTGTGACCAGGCTGCTGCTAGGCCATGGCTTCTAAATGTCTCAAGGCCAGTTTCTCGTCGAGGTCCCTTAAGGGCCTGGGAGGGCCTGGAGGGGGCTCGCACCGCGTGTCCACGGTGTACTCCAGCAGCTCCTGCCGGCTCCCCAGCCTCTCCCGCGGGCCCCAGGGTTTCTCCGCATGCTCCGCAGGGCTGGGCAGAAGCAGTTACAGGGTGGCCAGCTGCCTCCCTACGGTCTGTCTCCCCGCAGGAGGTGTTGCCACCAGCTGCAGTGTGGGTGGGGGCTGGTTCGGGGAGGGTATCCTCAATGGCAACGAGAAGGAGACCATGAAGTTCCTGAATGACCGCCTGGCTAATTACTTGGAGAAGGTGCGCCAGCTGGAGCAGGAGAATGCCAGCCTGGAGTGTCGCATCCGGGAGTGGTGTGAGCAGCAGGTGCCCTACATGTGCCCGGACTACCAGTCCTACTTCCGGACCATCGAGGAGCTCCAAAAGAAGGTGAGGGGGTCTAGAGTGGAGGCTGATGACCGACTGTGGTGGTATCTGGGCCCCCAGGGAGCACATTAGAGGTCACAGCGCATGTTCACATCACTGGCTCTATTCGTCCCTCCTAGTGATCTTCCGAGGGAGGAGGCTTCATTAGCCCATTTTACAGATGGGAACACTGCGGCTCAGCTGGCTTAAGTGACTCCCCAAGGCAACCCAGTTGGCCGTTGGTGGAGCCTGAATATGAACGCTGGTTTTACATACTGACTGGCTGTGTGGCCTTTGGTACCACAGCTAACTTCCCTGGATCTTAATTTTCTCGCTTTCTTTAAAAATTAGGTTTGATTTGATGTTTTTGGTACAACACCGATGTCTCATAACTGACTGAGGCTGGAAAGGAAAAGCCTGACAGAAATTCCCTTCTTACCCAGTCTATAACCCCTCTAAGTCACCCCTGTCCTGAGAAGGATCGTTTTTGACCAGAGAAACACAGAGAACCCTGATGATGGGAGCGTGCCTAGGCCTCCCATTCTGCCAAGAGAGACAGACAGGAGTTTTTTCCTCACTGTTTAGTGCCTTTCCTGCCGCATTTCCAAGCTTTTCTCTCTCTGATGCCTGGGTACAGGTGACAGACACATTGTATTAGAAGACAGCTTAGAAGTTTTAGGCCTTATCCCTTTCTCATTGGACCTATAGGGTCCCAGCCACCGAGAGTCTAGGAATGGATGACTTCCTCCCTTCAGGGTCTGTGCCAGCTCTGGGCAGCTCTCACCAGATCATGCTTTCTTTCACGGAACCCACTTTTTTATTTCCCCAGAACCTGTGTACCAAGGCTGAGAATGCCAGGCTGGTGGTAGAGATTGATAATGCCAAGTTAGCCGCAGATGACTTCAGGACCAAGTGAGTTGTCCAGGGACGCGGGGTCGGTGCCCTCTCCCTTCTGTTCACCCCTTGGCTGGGCACGGATGGGACTGGATATTGGTGGTGTTCAGATTCAAGGCTTTGTCTGCACTAAGTCACTAAAGCAGGACTCAGAGAGCCAGGTCTGATTAAGTGGGAGCTGACTTCCATACAGAAAGGAAATGTGGCATCAGGTTCCCTCCTCTCTGACCGTAGGTATGAGACAGAGCTGTCCATGCGGCAGCTGGTGGAGGCCGACATCAACGGCCTGCGCAGGATCCTGGACGACCTGACCCTGTGCAAGTCCGACCTGGAGGCCCAGGTGGAGTCTCTGAAGGAGGAGCTGCTGTGTCTCAAGAAGAACCACGAGGAGGTGAGCATGAGGGGGAAGGTGGGCACAGAGGTGGAGGTTTGTCTGGGGGTGGAGGTGAGCAAAGCAGACTTGTAGGAAAGTTGGCATGATCCTGGTCTGTGCCACAGGAAGTGAACTCACTGCGCTGCCAACTTGGTGATCGGCTCAATGTTGAGGTGGACGCTGCCCCACCTGTTGACCTGAACCGTGTCCTGAATGAGATGAGGTGCCAGTATGAGACCCTGGTGGAGAATAACCGCCGAGATGCTGAAGACTGGTTCAACACGCAGGTGGGGACTTGGGAATCAGCTGGGGCAGAAGGGACATATGACAAGAAACACACCAGTCACCCTGGGGTTCTGGACCAAGGTGCCTGAGCCCGAGTCCTGAATGGTCCTCAGAGATGCTTTAGAACCTATACTGGCTCTGTCCCAGCCCTGGTTTGATCTTGGTTCTCACTCTTGGGCAGGTTGCTGTGCTCTAGGCTGCACTGGGTGATCTGAAAGATCTGAAAGATTCTCTGTGACTTGGGGTTCAAAGTGACCTCTGCTGAGACTTCTGAAACTGACACCCCGCATTCCTGATCACACCTTGTGTGTGTTGCAGACCGAGGAGCTGAACCAGCAGGTGGTGTCCAGCTCGGAGCAGCTGCAGTCCTGCCAGGCGGAGATCATTGAGCTGAGGCGCACGGTCAACTCTCTGGAGATCGAGCTGCAGGCCCAGCACAGCCTGGTGAGCCCTGAGCCACTGCTGGACCAAACTCAGCAGCACACGAGCATCCCTCCTACCCTCCATGTGTCTCCTTATGGAAGGCAGACTCCAGGGAGTCACTTTTTTGAGCATCAGGGTTTCTCTATACAGAAAAGAGGGAATGAGGGCTTATCCCCAAGACACAGATGGTAAAAGACAGGAGACCTACAGCACCCAACACGTCCTGGCAGGAGCTCCTGTATTTGTGTAAGCAAGTAGATACACTTTCCAAATGATAGAAGAGAAGTAGGGGAAATGCTGTCTAGGAGGCTATGGGGCAAATTGGCTTATCTCAAAGGAGATGTCCGATTAGGGAACAGGAGGCGTCCTAGCTCAGAGTGAATCTCTGAACTCCCCATCTTGACTGTTAAGGCCTCCCTGAGGTCCAGATGGATTAAGTGCACGGTACTAGCTCTGTCTCTGACTTCTGATCTCTCTTCATTCCTATATGTCCTCTCCCTTCATAGAGAGATGCGTTAGAATCCACCCTGGCTGAGACGGAGGCGCGCTACAGCTCCCAGCTGGCCCAGATGCAATGTCTCATCAGCAACGTGGAGTCCCAGCTGGCGGAGATCCGGGCTGATCTGGAGCGGCAGAACCAGGAGTACCAGGTGCTGCTGGACGTGAGGGCCCGGCTGGAGTGTGAGATCAACACGTACCGGGGGCTGCTGGAGAGCGAGGACAGCAAGTGAGTATCCTGGTCTGAATGCAAGCCACAAAGTTCTGGGGGGACAACCAGGTACCTGAGAAGAGCCCAGTAGGAGGGGTCCTAAGTTCTCAGCTTTAGGTTTAACCTTATTACAAATTTATCATGTGATCCTAGCAACTCCCTTCTTTCTGAGTCTCTGTTTTCTCATGGATAAAATGGGGGTGAGGTGGTCTTCAAGGTGTTTTCCAGTTTGCCCATTTTGGAATCTGCTCTGGATTCTTGGGATCACAGTAATCTGATTGTTTTCTTTCTCCTAGGCTCCCCTGTAACCCGTGTGCCTCCGACTACTCACCCTCCAAGTCGTGCCTCCCCTGTCTTCCAACTGCCTCCTGCAGCCCTGCCACGCCCCGAATGAACTGCAGCCCACGTCCCATTTGTGTGCCTTGCCCAGGGGGCAGGTTCTGAGAGCAGCTGACCCATATGGCCAAGGCCATTGTCTCCAGGCCTGGCATTTACTCAGTCCTAACCCTCAAAACTCAACCTCTTCTCTTGGGAGGGTTCACTGCAAACACACACCTTAAAGCTTCTCAAAGCCAGCCACTAAACCAGGCTGCCCCTAAGGGCTTCAACTCCTTATCATTTCAATGGGTGCTGGGTCTGTTCTCAGGCTTCCTCCTGGGTCAGGTTTTCCTCCTGGTGGTTGCTCCTTTAGGTTCTGAAATGCAATCGAGGGCTTTTATTGATGAAATAATAAAACACATTTGCTCTGGCCTCATTTGTGCCATTATAGCCATGCTGATCGCGTCTTTATTGTGTTCAGAGGGGCGACTCTTGGCAGATGAATGGAGACATGATAGGGTCACTAAGCTCCTATTTGGGGGATGTGTCAGTGAGAGACCTAAAGCGAGATCTCCTCATTAACTATACTTTCTGCTTGGCTTTCCGGATGAAGATCTTTCTTCAAGATTCCATAATGGTGACAAGTGTCATCAGATCTCTCCTCTCATTCAGCTTAGTATACATGATCACCCTAGGATCCCAGACTACGATGGATAAAACGGAAAGCAGTATAATTTGAAGCACTTTAGGACAGGTTACCCTCACAAAAACAGCAACACTAATACAGTGCCCCACACTCAGGGTACTCAAAAAGAAGGGTTCACATCAACTGGCTTCTTCCATTGTGGTCCCTTTTTGGAGCTCCTCTGATTTAGTAAACTCCCTCAAGAGTGCACGTCCTGTCACAGATGATGACGGGATAGTGAGCCTACCACTGTGATCTCTAGCCTAATTAGTGAGCCAGAGGCTTCTGCCTGTTCTTGTGTGCTTTTGGCATTTGATAAGACAAGTGCCTGTGGGGTCCAGAGTATTTCCACACGGATATAAACCATTAGAATCTTGTCCTAAAGGACTCCCTTGGGCCTAGAATATCCGCTTGTAATAAACTGGGAAAAATACCCAGTTCCATTAATCACGCAGGTGCAATGGAGATGGGTGAAGGTAAAGCTTTCTAAGATAGAAAGGATAGTAAGTTGTACCCCATGGGTTTGTGATTGCTGTTAGGTGCTGTTGAGTTGACTAAGACTCATAGTGTCCCTACGAGGCATGCCATTCTCATCATCTCTGATACCCCATGGCTAGGTGCTCTTTATATGATGCCCAGAGTGATTGCTAAGTAATATTAATGATGCTAAAAGAACGCTAATGGCAACAAAGCTGGAGAACAGATTGGACCAATGTAAGCTTGAAACCACAGCCTCAGACCAGTTCAGTAGACTTTGACCTCTTGCTAAGAAATCACATAGTCACCTCAGATACACAGAATCAAAACCTACAGGATCCCCAGGAGAACTTAATCAGAGTCTAAAGTCTAGGTTCTGATTTAGTATATTTGGGGTGACATGACAATTCTAAGGAGAGCGTTGAACTGGTTTTCTCTTGCTTGAGCCCTGTTTGAGATTCCTCACCTGTTAAGTAAAGCCCCAGTATAACTAACCCTTCCCTCCAAATCCCATTGCTTTCTAGTTGGAACCAACTCAGATCTGACCCTTCTGTGGATTTTTCAGGGACTGTAAATCACATGGGGGGAGATTTCCTATCTTTTTCCAGTTGAAACTCTGGTGGAGTTGAATAGCCAGAGACTTTGGGTCAGCAATGTCTAACCCTAGTCCTATGGACTAGATTGCTAGAGCTCCCTCAGGATAGTACACTTTGATTCAATTAAATATGGGATGTTTGCACCCACGACTATTCTATCGAGGACTGAGAATCACTGGTTTAGCATGTTGCTTTCTTAAGGGAATGCCCAAGCCTTGTATAATTGGACACACTTGCTGTGGGCCTCCTGACATCATCCAACCCAGGACCACAAATGTGATTTCTTAAGGGAGCTGATTCATCTTGTTTGTCGTCTCTGAGGTCCTGAAGCAAGCCCTCTGTGTTTGCCAGCTCTGAAAGTAAAAGTAGAGCTTGTTCTAGCTTGTTCAACCCTAATCTGTTCCACAAACAATAATCGAACACCTGGCAACCAAGTGCGAGGCGCATTGGTAATTGTAAGGGAGGAGCCAGAGACAGTCAAGATAGAGCCTCTGCCTCATGAACAGGCTCATAATGTTGATCTGATTTTACAAGTGTAGGGATGCTCACTTCTCCCTTTCTCAGTGGGTCCTTAGTGTTTAAGATTTCCTGCCTGTATCTCAAGTTAATTCTCTCTTCCCTGATACTGCTTTCTGCCTCCCTGGCAGGAAAAATGTTGTGTGTTAGAAAGACCCAGAGGTTCTTCTCCATCTCTCTCAATGGATACCATCTGGCCCATTTCCTTGGATATATACTACTTCCAGTATCGATGCTGCTTTTTGCCACCTACACATTTCCTCATTAAAGAAGCCCACAGGGAATGCCCTCATTAAAGCGGTTGCTGCTCCACAGCACTGTGGCCTTTCTCAGGGCTGGAGTAGGTGGGAGCATGGTGACTAGGTCACTGAATTTGGCTGGGAGCCCTAGTAATGAGAGCCCAGGCCTGGAATTGTTCCTTTAAAGATGTGTCCCAAAGCTCCCCCCTGGAGATCAATGATAGGAACCCAGAGGTCTACTTTAGTTAAATGACCTGCTTGGCCACTTTTATGAGGACAGGAACTCCTTATAGGACATTAAATTACAAATTAATTAGCAGCTTCCTCTGAGGCTAAGTGTAAATCCCATGACGACTTTCTACCATGAGCCCCCTCACTACAAGTGTATATAAAGGCCCAGGCAGGATGGTCTTCACACATTAGCAATCCAGGTCGTCACAGCGGAGAAGAAGTGGACTTCCCAACATGACCTCCAACTGCTGTGTCACCAGCAACTCACCAGCTTCCCTCAAGAGCTGCCCACGGCCTTCCTCTGTCTGCTCCAGCAGTGTGAGCTGCCGGCCTGAGATGTGCCTGGGTTACGTCTGCCAGCCTATGGCATACATGCCTGCTGCCTGCATCCCGACCACCTACCGGCCATCCAGCTGCTTCTCCAAGCCCTATCTGCCTAGCTCCTGCCGGCCTACCAGTGGTCGGACAGTCAGTTCCCTCAGTATGTGTGGCTGGTACGGCGAAGGGACCTTCAATGGCAATGAGAAGGAGACCATGCAGTTCTTGAATGACCGCCTGGCCAGCTATCTGGAGAAGGTGCGGCAGCTGGAGCAGGAGAATGCGGAGCTGGAGTGTAAGATCCAAGAGGCCTGTGAATCTCAGGTGCCCACCTTGGGTCCGGACTACCAGTCCTACTTCCGGACCATTGAGGAGTTCCAGCAGAAGGTGAGGGCCAGTAGGGGAACAGACTCACTGGAGAGACATGCAGAATAGATGGCATTCTCAATTTTAATCTCATTAGTTTATTAAGCATTGCTTAGGGAAGAGGTATCTCCTTAGGGCATAGGACTAATCTTGTGATTTAAACGCTAAGCCAGAGACTTCGGCACGGAAAGAAACTTGAGTTCTAGTCTCAATGACACTATTGATTCATTGGGTGACTTTGGGAGTTCCCTCTCCTTCCTCAGGTCTCAGTTTCCTCATTTGTAAAATGAAGACAATAATCGTTCTTAACCAATAGAGATGTCAAGAGGATTTAATGATAGGATACAAGTCAAATGCCAGGAATAGTCCCTGGCATGAGCTTTCATGTTGAAGGCGGTGAGTTTTCAGTCTGTGTGATTGTCAAAGACTCTTCTGGCTTGTGAATGACCTCAGACTTAGCAAAAGTCTTCCAAGTTATCACTATATCCAAATGTGCCATTGGCTTTAGAAAAACTCAGGAACTTAGAAAAAGAAATCCAAAGTTTTTCCAGGACTAGGAACCCCCTTAATGCCTCAAAGAAAGGGAGTTTCTGCAGGTTGACTGCAAGATTGGGCTACTGTCTTCTTTGTGAAGTTCTTTTTCCTTCTTCTCTTCCTTCTGTGTGCCCGGGCTCCCAGATTCTGCACACCAAGGCAGAGAATGCCAGGAAGATCGTGCACATTGATAATGCCAAACTGGCTGCAGATGATTTCAGGACCAAGTGAGTCTGGGGCAGTTTTCTTGTGGTTTCATGGGGTATTGGACAAGCATTGGCTGTTCAACCCCTTCCCTCTTCTCCACTTCCTTAGTTCCTGACTCTGCCCCTGTGTAGGTATGAGACGGAGCTGTCCCTGAGGCAGCTGGTGGAGGCCGACATCAACAGCCTCCGCAGGATCCTGGACGAGCTGACCCTGTGCAAGGCTGACCTGGAGGCCCAGGTGGAGTCTCTGAAGGAGGAGCTGCTGTGCCTCAAGAAGAACCATGAAGAGGTGAGCCCTAAAGTCAAGCTGAAGCGCTTGGAAAGACTATGGAGGTTTTGGGGTTGGATAGACATAACTTGACATTCCCAGGCCTAAAGTATATTCTTCCTGTGATTTTACTTGATGTATTTAATCTGTCTGAGGGTTCTTTACTTTATCTGTAAAACTTGTACACTGCCATATATGAGTATGGTAAGAATGAAATGAGGTCACGGTTACGAAATGCCAGTTCCCTTTCCTTCTGCATTTCCTGGGTGGGCATATGCCAAGTGCTCATGGTGATTGCATTTGCTTTTCTCGTAAGAATCCCAGTCAAGGAGGAGAGCGGTGTGTTGGAGGTAGGTGGTGTTCTGGAACTTAAATGGGATGGCCTATCCACCTCTGCCAGCTTGGATGACTGGGGGAAGCAATGGCTCACTTCTTCTAAGGGAGCGTTGAATTGCAACTGCTTTCTTTTATTTGTCTCCATTTCCCCAGCCCTTCTGTTCGTATATTATGTGCTTAAAGCCGAGAGGTGCAGGCAAATCCTTTACTTTCTGATTCCTTTTTGGAGGGAAAGCTCTCTCCCCCAGATATCTTGAACTGCCAAGCCCACCTGAACCCTAGTGCTTTTATTTTTTCTTCTTTCCTGAGTTGACCTCTTGATTTGGGATTTGAATGAACAAATGTCTCTGAATCTTGGCTGAGTTTCCTTAAGTGTAGAGTAACAATCAGCCGCCATGTCCTCACTGAGCACCCGAAGGCACCCAGAAGGGCATTAGCCTGACTCATCCTACTTAAAACAGAGAGTCGGGAACTGCTCCAAGAAAGCACTAATGAGGCATTTATCACACACTCCACAGCCTCGGTGACAACTTTCTCTCTTTGGAAGCCAAGTCTTGGGAGGTGCTTGATTTAACCTGGGTCTTGAACTAAGTAAAACAAAGTTCCCAACACCTTTGTTCCCCAGATAGACACAGGATGGTGGGCTGGAAATGCCAAACAGTGGATTTCCCATTTCAGCCCAAGTAGATCTAACAAGCATCTTGATAACACTTTTGTCTTCTGTCAAAGCAATGAGAGGCACCTTTAAAGTGGGAGACCCTCCAGATACTGTAAAGATAGTGTTCCAGAGTCCTCAAAAGTCCACTCTAAAACAGAGAACCCTTAGCCTTTCTTTAATCATCTCATGTCTTCCTAGGAGGCAACTAGGGACTGTGTGACTTTCATACATGCCTGGGGATCTTCTGCTTTTCAGGAAGTCAGTGTCCTTCGATGTCAACTTGGGGACCGTCTGAACATTGAGGTGGATGCTGTTCCTCCCGTGGACCTAAACAGGATGCTGGAAGAGATGCGATGTCAATATGAGACTGTGGTGGAGACCAACCGCAGGGACGTGGAGGAATGGTTCAACACACAGGTGTGCCTCTTGCAATTGGACTGGTCTCCCAGTGTCCTTGAAAAGGCACCCCCAACTTCTGTCCATGTTCCTCCCGTTGCAGATGGAGGAGCTTAACCAGCAAGTGGCCACAAGCTCTGAGCAGCTTCAGAGCTATCAGTCTGACATTATTGATCTAAGACGGACCGTCAACACACTGGAGATTGAGCTGCAGGCCCAGCACAGCCTGGTAAGTGCTGCTGGGTGGGCCCTTTTCCCTAGTTCAGAATTCACAGTGGGACTGAGTTTTTGCTTTTTTGTGAAAGAGGAAGAATAGGCCTAGATTTCAGCCTCCATGAATGAGCTTGCAAATGGTCTTACCAAGAGGGAGCTATCTTCCAAGATCCGGCTCAGAGACAAAAGGGGCAGCTTCCTAATGAGATAATACTGGCACTGACAGACACAATTCCCCAAGAACACTTATTCTATGCTTAGCATGTCTTTCTGAACCTCTGGTTCATGAGTTTTAAAAAATCTCAGTGCTCACTTATTTTGCTAAATAATGGGACTCTCTGAGGTGGGTTTGGGCATGGATATATTTTTAAATTTTGATTTGAGTGTAAGTTTACAGAGCAGATTGCTATTTCATCCAACTCTTCATCTATGATTTGTTTTACAACATTGAATACAATCCCCATGTTGAACAATATTCTTCCCACTGTCTCTTTGGTTCTTGTTCCCATGCATCCTTTCTCTTCTGCCTTCTGCACTTCGTCCTTGGGCAAGTGCTGCTCTTTTGAATTTATGTTACTTACTGTTCTGAGGACTGAACACCTCCCTGGCATTATTGTTCACCCTCTACTTTTGTCTATTGTTTGGCTGAAAGTTGTGCCACAAAAGTGAACACAGTTCCAAGCTCAAAAGGCTTAGGCTAAGGGCCATAGTCTCTAGGGTTCCACCAGTTTCTATTTGACAAAGATTTTGAGATTATTTCAAATTTATTTCATGTGACTGTGAAGTTTTCTATCCAAGATTGATACAGGTGTTCAAGAAATAGTTAAGAGCGACTGTTTTGATACTGTGGGGCATTCATATTTGGTGAACTTCAGATTCAAAGATTGAGTAAGACTAAGTTTGTAGAAGGAATAAGGGATTTAGATTTGGGGCCAAAACATAGCTCTGTTAGTTACTAGCTGTTTAAACTTGAACAGAAAAGACCCTTGTGGTGACAAGTGGTCAGATTTAGGATATATTTTGCACATTGAATTGATCAGTAAAAATGAAATGGAATGTGATGAAATAAAATATAAATTTAAAAAAAGACACTCGATCTTTCTGTGCTTCAGTTTCCACAGTCACTTAAATGTCAGAGAAAAACTTGCCTTTTCTAGGTTCTTTTAGAATCAGGTCAAGGAACATAGTTCATTTCTCAGTTACATGCTTCCTTTCCCATAGAGAGACTCTCTGGAAAGTACGCTGACTGAGACGGAGGCGCGCTACAGCTCCCAGCTGGGACAGATGCAGTGCATGATCAGCAACGTGGAGTCCCAGCTGGCTGACATACGCTGTGACCTGGAGCGTCAGAACCAGGAGTACAAGGTGCTGCTGGATGTCAAGGCCCGGCTGGAGTGTGAGATCAACACATACAGAGGTCTGCTGGAGAGCGAGGACTGCAAGTACGTGGGCCTAGTTGAGGCTGTAGAGAGAGATGTGTGTAAGGGTGGGTGTAGTCTCATTAGATACCTACTGTATGCCTAACACAGTGTCAGAGTGTTGAGTGTGCACATAGACATGACTACTGCCCTTTTAAACGTCACTGCTTAGTAGGGGAGACAAACCAGAAGAGAATAATCAGAAATAACTATAATGGAGGTAAATGGTGTCATGCATGCTACTATTGTGATTAGACATGGAAGAACCAGGAGAGGAGGTTTATGGAGAATTTGACAGCTGAGTTGGTCTCTGAAGAGGAGCTTTTGGAAGAATAGAAATTGATTAGGTGGGTTGGGAGCGAGGAACATTGTAGAAAATGGAAACAGAGCACAAACCCTATGACCTGAGCAGGTTGGTCTTTGGAGAAAGTTGAAGAAGATCAGAGTACCTGAAAGTCAGAGAGCAAGAGAGCTATGAAGTGAAAACGGGACCAGAGATGGGAGCAGGATCATGCAGGAACCACACATATTGTGTTAAGGAAGCAGCTCTTCATCCCAAGTGCAAAGGAGAACCAGGGAGAGGTCTGAGTAGATCCATGTTTGTAGACAATTGCTCTGGCCATTAAGCTGAGAAGCAAGAATGGGGTTGGAGAGACCACTTTGGAGGCTGTTGGTACCCTGAGAGACAACTCAACTCCAGCACAAAGATGATGCAAGTTGGATCTAGAGCGGTTAGGTGGAAAAGGTATGCAAAAGATGCACTTGAGGGATATCGGAGGTAGAAATACCAGGATCTATTTTGAGTTTGGACTTCTAATCCTGCCCCAAATGTGACTTTCTTCCACAGGTTGCCCAGTAACCCGTGTTCCACTCCTACCTGTCCTCCTTCTGCACCCTGCCCACCCTGTGTGCCCCGTACTGTCTGTGTGCCTCGCACCGTCTGTGTGCCTTGCACACCTTGTCCCCAAGGCCGCTACTGAAGTCCCTTAGAGCTGATGGGTCCCAGAGGGACTGGAGCCAGGCAGTTATGTGGCTCCCCGCAGAGCAGGACCATCTCCCACCAATGTGGAACACCATGAGCAAGAACCAAGATGTGGACATCTGCAAGGTGCTGATACTTCAGGGAGCCCTAGCTATCATTTTACAGATTCTGCTTTTCTTCTACTTCTAACAGGTGAATGGTTCTTTCTGGTGATGTTTCTGTGTGGCCTCAGAGAGTATGTGTTGGAAGGTAACTGGTGAATAAAGCCTCACTCAGAGGCCCTGCAACCACAGCTGTCTATGTTTTGTCACTTAGGCTGCTGCAGCCATGAGCCAACTCTAATTAGGTGGGTCCAAGAGGAATGTGGCCAAATTTTAGATTTATTTTACATCCCTCTTGCTTCCATAGAATTAATTGCGAGGCTTTCACCAAAAGGGCCCACATGCTACAAACCAGTTGAAACCAAGTTATCAGTCCTTAGCCAAGTAATAAAAGAATAAAAGGAGAAGAGAGATAATTATGCCAGAAACGGAGGCCAAACTACTGATGTTAAGAATAAAATTCACCCTCCAACCTCATTGTAGCTGGTACAATGGGATTATTATTCATCCATTCAGAAAGTCTTCTGCATTTGTTTTGGTAGTTGCCACCAAGTCAACTCTGCCTCATGGTAACTTTGTGTAGAACAGAACACAGTGTTAACTGGTACTGTGCCATCTTATAATCATTGATATGCTTGAGTCCATTGTTGTGGCTACTGTGTCCATCTCACTGAGGGTTTCTCTCATTTTTCTGACCTTCTCCTTTGTCAAACATGGTGTTATTTTAAAGTGGTCTTTTCCTGGTGGTATGTTCAAAGTAAGTGGGCTGAAAGTTTTCAGCCTCACTTTTAAGGAGCATTGCGCTTGTATTTCTCCTAAGATCAATTTCTTTCTTCTCTTGGTAGTTTCCAGGTATATTTGATACTCGTTGCCAACATCACAATTCAGATGTATCCATTCTTCTGTCTTCGTTTTGCATTGTCTAGCTTTTACCAAGTGTACGTGGTGATTGAGAGGACCTTAGCTTGAGTCGTGCCATGATATTTTAACTATCAAAGTGATATCTATGATAGTGATTCCATGCACATTGGAAGGACAAAGAAACATCTGCACAATCTATGCTTTGCCAAGTCATTGTTGAAGTCACTGCACCATCCATCTTTTTTTTTTTTTTCTTCCCACACAAGCACACTGATTTAGTGTTTTGGTTTTCCCCCATCATCCATCTTATTGAATATCTTCCTCTTCTTCACCACCTTCCATTTTTCAAAGCATCATGTCCTTTTCCAGGATCTGGCTTTTGCTGAAATTATGCCCGAAGTATGTGAGACGAGGTTTCTCATCCTCTCCTCTAAGGAGCACTTGAACTGCCCTTCGTCCCAGACAGATTTGCTCATTGTTTGGCTGTCCCTGGTATAGGCAACATTCTTCACCAGCACACAGTCCAATGGCTTCAATTCTTCGTCAGTGTCCCTTGTTCATTGTCCAATTTTAACATGCATAGGAAGCAATTGAAAAGTACCATGGCTTGTACCAGGATCACGTTAGTCTTTAAATTGACATCCCTGCTCCTTAGTACTTTAAAGAGGCCCTTGGCAGCATATTTGCCCATTGAAATATGTCAATTGCTTTCAAATACTTCAGCACAATGGGTGTTAATACTGGATCCAAGGAAATGAAAATCCTTGACAACTTCAATCTTTTCTCCATTTGTTATGGTGCTTATTGGTCTAGTTGTGAAGATTTTTGTTCCCTTTATATTGGAGTATGTTCCATACTGAAATCCATAATGTCATTGACCTTTAGTAAGTATTTTGAGATTTATCCACCTTCAACCAGCAAGTTTGTGTTATCTGCATAGGTTGAAGATGAGTCTCCCTCTAATCCTGTTGTTACATTCTTCTTATTCCGTATAGTCCAGCTTCTGAGATTATTTGCTCAGTGTACAGTTTGACTAGGTATGGTAAAAGGATACAACCTTGACACACACCTTCCCTGATTTTAAACCATAGAGGATCTCCTTGTTCTGTTCTCCAGTGTCTCAAACACATTGTGATTGAGTTGGAATTGACTCATGGTTGACCAGCCAGGAGGTTGTAAACCACATAGATTTTGCCTCTTTTCCCCGAAGAGCAGCTGGTGGATTTGAATCTTCCACCTGGGGGTTGGCAGAATGACTCCTTACTGATTAGGCTACCTGGGCTCTCTTTCTCTGGGTTAGAACCCTGTTAATAATATCCCATTTAATTTTGGCAATAGTCTATGTCAAAGGGGTAACTTCCTCCACTCCAAAAATGAGGAAACTGAGGGTTAGAGAGGATGAGAAACTTGCCAAGGTCACAAGAGTGGAGAAGGGTTCAAATCCAGGTCTTCAGGCACCAGAGATGTTTAGTCAATTCATATTAAGAGTCTTACTATTTGCAAACCACAGCTAAGCACAGGGGAAACAAAAACAAAATGCAAGCGATCTCTACCCTCCTCAGATGCTTATAATTATAGAGGAAGCTAATATTAATTCTTTCCTAAATAAAGTGCATGTAATTACCCAAGAACTTAAAGTACTTCCTGAAGAAGGTTAAAGACCATAGCCTTCAGTATGGACTACACCACGGTGTAATGAAAACAGAAATCCTCACAACTGGACCAATAAGCAACATTATAGTAAATGGAGAAAGTATTGAAGTTTCAAGAACTTTTACCTGGACCCACAGTCAACATGCATAGAAATAGCATGTTTAAAGAGGGCCTCTTTAAAATGTTACAAAGCAAAGATAACACTTTTAGGACTATGGTGTCTCTGACTCAAGCCATGACATTTTTAATTGCCTCATATGCATGTGAAAGTTGGATAATGAATAAGAAAGATCAAAGAATTGTTGCCTTTGAATTCAGACCTTGCAAAGAATATTGGCTATACCATGGAGGGCCAGAAAAAGAGAGATCTCTCTTGGAAGAAATGTTATCAGAATACTCATTAGAAGCGAGGACAGTAACACTTTGTCTTCCATACCTTGGAGATGTTATTAGGAGGGACCAGTCCTTAGAGAAGGACATCAAGTTTGGTAACATAAAGAATAAGCAAAAAAGAGGACGACCTTCCTGGAGAAGAGTTGATACAAACAGCTGCAACAATGGGCTCAGATAAGGCATGAATGTGAGGATGGCACTGGACTGGGCAGTGATTTGTTGTGCTTAAACATCAAATAGCTACAAGTAGGAATTGACTTGATGGTGCCTAACAGCCAGCAATTAAAACAACCACAGTTACTACCATTTGTGAGGACTTGTAAGGTACAAGAGAACTAAACAGGTTTGTCCTGGAGAGGGTGAAGCCACGTTGCTCTTTGGAGGCTAGAATTTTGAAGCTCTGTCTCATATACTTTGGACATGTTGCCCAGAGGACTGGTTCTTGGAGAACGATCTCATACTTAGAAGGGTGGAGGGACAGTGCAGGGCAGGAAGACCCTGGATGAAGTGGATTGACATGGTAACTGGAATAATGGGGGCAAGGGTATCAGAGACAGTGAGATGGGCTCAGGATAAGGCAGGGTTCAGAGCTATTATGCATAGGCTCGCTGTGAGTTGCAGGTGACTTGACCACTCATAACAACAACAACAACAACAACAATGTACAAGATACTATATTTAGCATGATATATGATTAATAAAGGCAATTGCCATGACAACCTTGCATGAAAGGCATCATGCTCATTTAGAGAATTGAAAAGTGAGCCCTAGAGTGTAGCTAAGTCAGTTGTCTAAGGTTATATAGAAAGACACAGATTTGAATTGACATCTAGTATTATTTTAAAGAGTCTGCTGTCCTACCAAATTTCTACCTAGCAACAGCTCATACTATCAAAAATTTGGAGAAAGTGTTAGCTTTGGGGATCATGAAAGGGTTCATATACATGGTGGCATTTGAGATGAATCTTGAAAGTTGAATTGGATGTCAGTAGAGGAATTAAAAGCTATAGGGGCAGAGAGAAGTGTGTAGGAAAAAGCAAAAGTTGTAAGTAGGCAATCTTGAGTAGCCCTGTTTACTGGGTAGGGTTCTGTGAGAGACTGGTGGGAAATAAAGCTACAAAGAATTGGAAACATCAGCCCGCAAAGGGCCACATCAGGCACTGGCATTAAGACCCTAACTCCATCCTTACTGTGCTGGGAGGGCTGCCGGAAGTTTGTGCCCAAGTAGGACATGAACAGAGCCATATTTTAGGAGGTTTTAATAGAGAAGAATAAATAGGATGGTCTCAAGTCAGGGAGAACGCTGTGGAATAGTTTGTGGAAGAATGTGGTGGAAGTGTGAACTGAAACCATCTGACTGTGTGGATCATAACAAACTGTGGCTGATTCTGAGAAGAATGGGAATCCCAGAACACTTGATCATGCTAATGCGAAACTTATACTTGAACCAAGAGGCAGTTGTCAGAACAGAGCAAGGGAACGCTGGATGGTTCAAAATTGGGAAGGGCGTATGCCAGGGATGTGACCTGTCTCCATACCTTTTCAACCTGTATGCAGAACAGATCATCCGGGAGGCTGGACTCTATGAGGAGAAATGTGGCGTCAGGATTGGTGGAAGACCCATAAACAATCTGCGTTATGCAGATGACACAACCCTGCTTGCTGAAACTGAAGAGGACCTGAAGTGCTTGCTGCTGAGGGTCAGAGGCTGCAGCCTTCAACATGGATTGAGGCTCAATGTCAAGAAGACAAAGATTCTCACCACTGGACCAATTGGCAGCATCAGGATGGATGGTGAAGAGATCGAGATTGTTCACAGCTTTAGTTTGCTTAGCTCCACAATCAATACTCTTGGCATCAGCAGCCAGGAAATTAAAAGACGTATTGCCATGGGAAAGTCTGCTGTTAGGAACCTTTCTAAAGTACTCAAGAGCAACGGTGTGTCTCTGGAGACAAAGGTGCGTCTGGTACAGGCCATGGTTTTTGCGAT